CCTCGCTCTATACAGCCAGGAAAAAGCAGTGAAGCCCTTGGAACTGGTATCAACACTGGCTTTTGAATTTCGGCTGGACCCTCAGTGCTGCCCAGCATTCCTTGGTCAACTGTCCAGTTCTGCACAAAGATTTCAAACATTTTCTCACTAAGCTGAAATTTGTAACATCAATCTCCTCTCCCAGCTGAAGATCTTGCCTCATAGAGAACAGGGAAATTTTCCTGAGTAGGAGCAAGCAAAAAGAGCAGATAGCAGGTCCCATGTGTGAAGACTTCAGATATGTACTTATCAGACACAGATTATGAAACATTGTGTTTAATATCTCTAAAATAATTTATTTTTAATTATTATTTATACATTCAATCGCTATACATCATTTAGACTGTAAAGAGAATTTACCCAACATGATATACACCTCCAACCAGAATTGAGAATACTCTATATGTCATCATCGACAGGTAAGAAACCATTTCTGCATCTCACAAAGTCTTTCCTCTCTATTCTTTCGCCAAAATTTCCTTCCCTGCACTCCTCCCTTCTCCCACTCTCCTTCCACTTTGCCCCAGTGTCCATAACAATTTTCAACACTTTTATGTTCTGCAGCCAGTCTCTACCATACAGAGCAGAGAGTCAGTGTATATTAAGTGGAGACATACAATGTCTCTCTTTCATAGTCTGACTTGCTATTTTTTTTTTTTTTTTTTGGAGAGATTTTCACTGTAGGGCGCGTACGCTCGCCAGACAGACAGAGAGAGACATAGAGACAGAAAGCGAGAAATCACCCCCCAGGGGGGATGGTCACGCCACAATCCCCTCTCCTCCATTCTCCTCTCGGGATCTTGGGCACGCACGCACACGCGCCCGGCGTGAGTTTTAAGCCACCGGGTCCGGGACACGAACCGCGGTCGACTACGTGGGAGTCCAGCGACATAGCCATTACGCTAACTGCTGGTTCCCCCTGACTTGCTTTTTTAAAGCTTGAACATAGAGTAAGGAATAAGAAACTATAAAGAAAGACAAAGTAGATGTGATAAAAAGATACAATGTTTGTAAGTAACCACATAATTAAAATCAAATTATGCCCACTAAACTCAATCCCCTAGCAGATTTCTAGTTGCTGTCTAAATGTTTCCTGAACTGTCTTGCCTCTGCTCTATTGCTCCCATAATTCTCCCATTTTAAACACTATTTTCCCTCTTTGCACTTTGAACTCATATCCAAGGCTCACATCCAATGTCATCTCTTTCATTTATCTATGGCAAGCAATTTTCCAAATGAAATTATTTATACAGGTCTTCACATTTTGTTTGTATACCATACATAATATTTAGAATCTCTTAAGTAGTTGCTGCTATCCTATTTTCTCAATTTGGTTATAAACAACTAGTGGGAAAGGGCTCATCACATAACCAACTCTATTCCACTGAACCTGGCTGAGTGCTTTACTCAGAATAGATGTTTAATATAAACTGTTTGAGCTGAATAAAACTTCTTTTACTTCTATAATGTAATCCGTTCTATAGCCATAGAAACTTAAGCAATGAGTAAGAGACCCACTTAGCCTAATTTTCACTATGCATTATTTACAAAATGAATCTAAAATGGCATTCCCCACAATATTCCCTATCTTACTGTTTTTCCATTAAGTGAGATGTATAATAGTAGGAGAGCTGTATCTTCTCTTGCATCAATTTAAGTCCCAGACCCAATGAGGTGGCACAGGCATATGGTGTGTCACTGTCTGATACTGGCGTCATGTGGGAAGGTTCCAAGTTCAGATCCTGAGTCGATCTGAACAAGCTGTGTGTGCTCGTAGTTGTGCCCATAATCCTGGTTGCCTCTTAAGCTGGGGTTGGGGAGATTGTGGCAGAGTGAGACTCCACCAAAGTTAGCTCTCTCACCTCCTTCTGATGAAAGAAAGAGATAAATACACTTTAAAAAAAAAGAATTAAGCTCTAGTTTTACTCAATTTATTTTATAAAGTTATCATATCATTGGGTCATCAGGAAAGTCATGATGCGTTTTTGTAAAGAAAAAAAAAATAGTTCATGACTTTCCTAATGACCCAATATTAGGTTAATGATAATTATTTAAGACCATTTCTGCTAAATATATTTAGTGGATTATTTAGTCATTAGCACAGGTTATTCAACTGAATTAAATACAAGAAATATTTTTTCTATTGTTAGAAAGGTAAAGCAATACAAGGTAGGTAATAGGTATATTGAGCCCCCAAAAGAGAATGACATAGTTTAGACCATGTTTAAAGAAGCAACGCTAGAAAACTTTGAATTTAGAAAATTTTCAACTAAAATGAAGGTTGTCTGTAGGATGCAAATAATAGAGAAAGTATTAATTAGAGAGGAAAAATGAAAGTGTTCAGTAAATAGCATGAATAATGAAAAAATAGAAGAATAAATAGAAAAGATGAAAAACTACAATAGGGATTAAAGATGGTAAATGTCTTTTAGAGAAAGAAAACATTCACTGGAAAACAGTGTGGATCAACTTATAAACATCAGGTGAACAGTCAACATTCTTTAGTACTCCCCCTCTCTTGGATAATACCAAAGTGGTTTCAATTTTTAAAAAGGAAATTTGGCATGAAAGGGTTCTGTAACATGGCCTGCCCACTTACGGGATTTAGGGTAAAAAATGTAAACCAGCTGTGATATTGAGGTTTAAGAGTCATCTGTTGTCCATATTCAGTAGCTTTTCCCATGGAATTACTAAAAGAATTGTATGATGGATTGTCTACATCCTAATTATGTAATTACACAGTAGAAAAGAACAGCTGAAGAGGAGTCATTTCATCCTTGTGGCCAATCCTGCATAATCTATGTGTCACATAATGGATGGAGCTCTTTCTATACTGTAAACCATAATTGTATTATAAAAGAATGAAATGTTGGCTTTCATATGGGATTAGAATATGTGTGGTCAAACCAGTGGAGATAAAGTTAGAACTAATCTAAAGCTTCAACCTGAACATTAACCAAATCCAAATGAGTTATTATTAGAATGTTTTAAATACATTTTTAGGAAAAAAATATTCTTGACTTAGTTACTATGTTCTTTTCAAGTGCAGCCAGTCCCAAAGCAGGATTATCAGAGTGCATCACAGCAGGAAAAGATATTAAGTTTTGGCAAATATCAAAACTTTCCAGGTGTGAACCTAACAGGAGTTTCTAGACCTAATGGAAAGTCTAAGTGTTGAGCTCAGAGTACATCATCAATCTTTGATTTTATCAACTATTTCTGTGTCCTTGATGTCAAGAGAGGTTATATATGCTGTATCTCCCAGAGAAATCTCTTCTTTCTATGTTACTAGAAAACACTACCACGTGTGGAAAGGGTAATCGTCACTATTAGCTATTCAAGAAGAGCAGAATGTGAAGTGCGAGAAATAAAGCGATTCACAAGCTCAGCTACCCTGGAAGCATGATACAATGGAAAATATAATGCACAAAGTGCTGGATGAAGAGCAGAGGGGGAAGAAATTACAAGGGAGCTGCAGCAACCTCACTGTGCAAACCAGTAGCAGGTGACTTTTCAAGACACGTGATAGAACAGTATTTGCTGACTTTCATTCTTAATCTTTATGAAAACCACAATGAACACCAGAGCTATTTGGCTAGGTCATGAACTAGAAGGGGAAGTTGGCCAAAATAAACAGAAGGGAAGCAAACCCTGGCAAAATCTGCCATTTAATCTTTCCAGAGTAAAACATCTTGGGCCCAAGCAAGAAGGAGCCCTGGTTTCACTCTCTGTTCATGTTGCTTCTTTGTGTTTTGGCCTTTCTCAATCGTGTGTGGCTTCTGGTCAGCCAGCGTAGGTCTCTTTGCAGAGCCCAGGTCTTTACTTCCTGCAGCAACACATCTTTCAATGCTACTGCATGTGACGTGCATAGGCTTGGAAATGGATGCGGGATTTAGTCCTGGGCCACCACTACAAATTGCAGAGAACAGCTTGCTCAAACTCTAGGGAAA